GAACAGGGATTCCAGCTCTGTGCCATTGTGGATGTTAGTGCCACTCTAAGCTACGATCGGGACTTTGGCATGGACGCGCTTTTCCGCAAAAATCTAGATGCTCTTTTCCGAAAATGCTTTTAACGGAAAAGTTTTCCGTTAAAAGCATTTCCGGAAAATCATGCCAGTCTAGACGTAGCCCATGTGTTTAAAAATGAAGCCAGTGGTCATACAGGCATAGTGTGGAGGGAGAGTTCATCAGTAACTTTCTTTTTTTTTTTAAAGGGGGAGGAGCTTCCCCACATACTCTTAACACTTCTTTGTTTTAACTTGTTTGCTACTGCTGTATGTGGTTTTAAACAGTCATCTGAAAGCCTTGCCTAAACCTCCAGGCCCCCAACTTTTAATGTTGTGGTTCTGTGGCTCAAGTTTCCAGCCTTTTGGATACCAGTGTCCCCTCCCCTTTGAGATGCAGAACAGAGGAAATTTTACAAACGGCCATATTAACCTTGCTTTCCTATTAAACCAGGGCTTTCAAGTAACTTGAAAGAATTCTTTCCTTTGCCTTGTGATTGATGATGTTGATACAGCCTGCTCCCTAAGATTGTTTCAAGAAACACGTTATCCAGCACCGAGACCCTACATGTCAGCACTAAGTACATCCCCATCACTTCAAAGGTGATTCTCAGGTTTAGTGCAGCAAACTGATGGCAGGGTCAGAATTAAAACTTTTAATCCCTCCCTTTCTCCTATACTGCTGATTGCCCGTGATTCTGCACTTTCCAAACCCCTTTCTTTACTAACTCAGTTGCAGGCAGAGTATCATGTTGGCACTGGGGAAGCACATTGTAGAGTGAGTTCACTTTAAGCCATAGCTAGCAGTTTGAAGTACAGGTTGAACCTCTCTAGTCCAGCAACATCTATGGTCCAGCATGATTTTAGGTTGCTGGATGTCCACTTACCATAAGTGTGGTCATGTTTCCCATGCTCCCACAAAGTTTTACAGCCACCAGGCCTGGCTGGCTGTGTTCTGTCCTGCTATTTAGCTCTACTTTACCCTTAAGTGTCTTCTAAGAGCCCAGTACACACTGGGGCTACGTCTACACTGGCACCCTTTTCCGGAAATGCTTAAAACGGCACAGTTTTCCGTTATAAGTATTTCTGGAAAAAGTGCGTCTACATTGGCAGGATTCTTTTCCGGAAAAGCACTTTCGTCATTTTCGCAATTGGGGCTTTTTTGCGGAAAAGACTACTGTTCTGTCTACACTGGCCCTTTTCCGGAACAGTTTTTCTGGAAGAGGACTTTTGCCCGAACGGGAGCAGCATAGTTTTTCCGGAAAAACACTGACAATTTTACAGTAGATCGTCATTGCTTTTCCGGAAAAGCAAGCAGCCAGTCTAGACAGCTGGCAAGTTATTCCAGAAAAGCAGCTGCTTTTCCAGAATAAGTGGCCCAGTGTAGACACAGCCTGGAAGTCTTGGTAATGGTGATAGACAATATCGACATCCCATGGTCCAGCAAATTCTCTGGTTTGGCACCAGCCAGGTCCTAAGAGTGCCATATAGACTAGAGAGGTTCAACCTATATATTTTTCTGCAGCTGAGCCACTGCCCAAAACATCTCAGTAATAGTAGTGGTGCCAGGATGCTAAGTTCCAAATTCCACCACAAAATAATGCTCATGAGATCTTACTGACTTTATGGGGCACTTGTGTGGAACCAGGTGGCAGATGCTGGTTCTGGTACTTTGCTTTAGAAGTAGCTGGCAGTGCGTGTTCATGTGGATCAGGCCTTTCATTGGAAGAGTGCTCAGATTAGCCCCTTTCTCACACAGCTATGTAATTTTTTGTCTACCATTAAGGTATGTTCAGCTTTTGTGAGAACTGGTCACAGAGGAATTGGGAGTCTCTAAGCACTTCAGGGGGATATGTACATTGTGCTTGAGAGCAAATCTCCCAGCCCACCTCAACAGACTTGTGCTAGCCATTGTAGCTCAGACTCTCTGCCCTCGGATATTTGAGAGAGTCTGACCTCCAACCCCAGTCGCAACATCAAAGCACTGTTGACTAAGTTTTAACACCCTTATGTGAGTCCTGAGCTGGTATGCTGGCTTCCAGACCCTTACAGGTTGCACTGTTTCAACTACAGACTTGGTGCTAAATTCCTTTCTTGCTTCTCTATCCCACACCCCTACTAGAGTATGCAGGGGTGGAGTCTTCCTTGTAGAGAAGCACTGGCCACTAGTTGACACTGCTCTGGGTTTCTCACCTGGGTTGGGGGCCTAGTTTATAATCTTGCATTAGGTTGAAGACAGCATTTGAGGAGCTGGTGGCTTCATTCTAGCACCCTCTTTTCATATTTAACTTTTAATTTAGCTGGGTGTTTACAGGAAAACATTTTTTTACACAATCAACCTGCAGGTGTGCTACACTACTCAAAAATGGATTTTTACATCTTTGAGCTCATGATAATCTACTCAAACGTATGGTTGGTTTGTTTTACTGTGAAAGTAATTTGCTTGCTGTATGCAACTCTTAAGTACCAACTTCCTTAGCAAACCTATAAAGCATGAAAAGTTGTATTTAGCAAAAGCATTTTTGGTACTTAGATTTTCATATATTTACTGTGAGATGTGACTAAGAGCCCTTACATCTGCACTGATGCAATGAAAAACTACATGCACTCTGGGTGCTCAAATACATTAATGCTGAACACTAGTTCCTGTTTCTACACTCAACAACACTGATTACTTGCCATCATGGCAGAGCAGCTCTACTAGTTAAGAATATTGGTTAATATAGCAGAGCTTGGGTCAGGTTTGGAAACACAGATAGGTCACTTAGACCTTGATCCTCCAAAGACTTTAGGCACCCAACTCCCATGGACTGGAGTAGAAGTTGGGTGCTAAAATCCTAGGCGGGTCTGGCTTCAGATAAGGTTGCCTATCACTATGGTTAAATCCCACATCACACCAGGACTGAAGTGAATATGCTGAGCTAAGTAGGGAAGGGACATGTGTCTGCACTCTGCCATGGCTACAGCAAGGTTGACTTACTTTCATGAGCACTTTTGTTTGCTCACATTTACATCTTTTTAAAAATGTACAGCCTGGTGTATGATGATTCAGAAAATCCCAAACACACGTGTCCTGCTGAGCGTTGACGAATGATGAGTTGGATTGAGTGACAGAGAAGAACATTTAAAGCGGAGGTGATGGCACATTTGAACACAAGGCTTCTCAGCCTCAGAAAATCTGCTTTGGTGCAGTAGTTGAGCTAACAAGCCAGGACCCCCACTCTGACTATAATTCCTGCATCTGGGAAAAAGGGAGCTAGGAAGGCTGTCTCTTAAGTGACAGCTCCATGTTGGTGCCATAACATTTTCTATGCCGGTATTTTGCTATAGATAGGTGAGTCCATCTATTTTATGAACAGATGTTACCAACAGGCACTACCAATAGTGTTTGCACCCTTGCTTCAAAATGTATTATCAATAACGCACAAGTAAACTGGGTCTATGATTTAGAAGGTTATTTTGCTCTGATGCATTTTTAATAAAGACTAATTGTAATGGAAATGAACTGCTTTGTGTAGGTTTAATTTTGAGTAAACATATGTCACCATTAAGCTTAAAATCCCTCTTTTATAGTTTTCAATTAGCATTTCTCTTCAGGAGACACTCTCTCATCTGACTCGTCTTGAGCTCAACTGGTAGGTTACAAGTTACTGGGTCACTGGCCATCCATGGTGCACAGATGAAAGGAGAGACAAAGCCTGAAGAAGCAAAGGCTAAGGTGGTAAAATCAAGGGGAGCTTGGCTGGATGGCTTTTTTGTGGGGGGGGGAGGGGGGGAAGGGAAGAAATTGACTTAGCATATCCTTTTCCAAACAATGCTAAATTATCAAATATACAGGAATGCAGTAAAACACAAATGCTATTGGGGGAGTCATAGGCCAGACCCTCAGGCAGAGTAAATTATAGCATATGCCAATATGCAGAGAAATACCAGTAGTGGGATGGGGCAAGCAACTTTTAGTTGGGTGCACTTTGAACATTGTACTACTGCCATTTTCCTGATGTGACTTCCAGACAGCTATTTATTAGTGTGAGCCTTGCTCGATGCAAATCTACACAGATGCCTCAAGTCATTGTCTTCTAAAGAAAGCACCTTCCTCACATCTCAACTCAATCGTGTGCTTCCTGTATGCTTGGACTAAGGTTGGTCCTGCTTAAGGCATGAAACCAAGTCACCTGATGCTGGAGCCCATTTTGAACATAGCAGTTTCCCATGGGGGTGTGAAATAGGGATGTAATAGTGTAGTCAATTAACCAATAAGCAAAAGCATATAGGTTAATGCTATAGCCTACATGCATTACTTCCCCCACCAGTAAATTTTTTTTAACAGACTTGCCAGCAGTCCAGCTCAGTTCTAACTCAAGCTGGGTGCAGGACCTACCCCCACTGTGGCTCTGCGTTTGTTTCAGGCAAGAAACTGGTGGAGATGGGGAGAGGAACGGGGGAGAGAGAGAGGGGAAAAAAGCTGATGGCCACTCCCCTTCCTCGCCTATCTTAGCAGAGGACCTTGCTGTGTTTTCTTCTGCTGAACACAAAATGCCACCGCTTCTGCCATGACTCTCCAATGGCACAAGCCCTGGCACACTTCTGCACAACTTACAGGTCCATCTCTGCATTTGCTAGAGGGTGCTCCAGTGCTTGCCCTGCATCCAGCCAGCAAGGTGAGCATGGAAAGGCTAGCACCAGCTAGGAAGGGCAGAATGTAGAGTAAAAGCAGGAGGCGAGCTGAGAGATTGAGAAGTGGGGAGCAGAGAAAAGTGGGAAGAGAATAAGGCAGAGTCTAAAAAAGAACCAACTGGAAGAGCGACAGGGCCAAAAAAATGGGACACATTCAGAAGTTAGGGCACACCAGACACAGCTTGCCTGTGCCATCTTAATTTGGCCCCTTTGTGCATTCCATTTATACACTACTTTATACAATTCCATTCTAACAGATACTGTGTAATGCTGTACATATGCAGGGAAGCCAACAGTCACACTGGGCCTCTGGGCAAGGTGGGGTGGCTAGCTCCACACTCCTAGAAGGATCAGGGCCTCAGCCAGAAGGGGAGGGCCAAGGCAACCAGCCCTCAGTGCCACCCTCTCCCCAGCATTGCCTGGAGAGCACTGCCCCCACCTCCCCAGGCAGCCCTAAGAGTTGCCCAGAGCTCAAGACAATGACCTGGGAATAGTCTTGTGCTTCCTGTAAGCTTGGACTAAGTCTGGTCCTGCTAAGACATGAGGCCAGGTCAGCTGATGGGAGCACTTTCCCATGGGAGTGTGAAATAGGGATGCAATAGTGTAGTCAATTAACTAAGCAAAAGCATATAGGTCAATGCTATAGACCACATGCATTTCTCCTTCCCCCCCCCCCCCGGTAAATTTTTTAGCAGGCTGGCCAGCAACCCAGATTAATTCTGGCTCACACTAGGTGTGGCTCTTTAAAGTGTATTAGGAGCCAGGCGGGCAGGCAGCCTGGCTCAGTTCCAGCTTGTGTCAGGTCCAGGAGCTCTGTCTTTATCAGAGACAGCAGCACATGGCAACAAGCAGCTGGTTCACAAGAGGAGCTGGTGATTAAACTGGCTCCCCTTGCGGACTAGCTCCCACCTTCCACCCCCGTGCTGCTGCCAGCCGCATCCTTAGGGACTACAGAATAGTTGACTAACCGGTAAGAATTCATGAAGTTACTCAACTACTCAATTAACTGAAATTTAACATCCCACGTGTGAAAGGGTTGAAGCTGAAGTCAAAGGATTCCCACCTTGGGCAATATTTATGGACCCCCCCCCCCCCCACACACACACACACACACACTTACCACTAAGATGACTGCTTGAAGCATCTAAGACTTAGGAGGCGGATGGATCAGGCCCAACGTAGGAGGCTGGCTAGCTTGTGAGAGAGATGATTAAAACTACCATTTGAGTAAGAAATAGCATAACAAGTTTCTTAGAGTATGAAGCTTAGCCGATGTGTTTTATTTATCTTAGTACTTACTTTGATCGGTCTGTTATCACTTGAAACCACTTAAAGCTCAGGTCCCATACACTCACCCTGACACCTTACCACCTGCCCAGACCCCACACTTCAATCTCCTCCCCTACACCTACTTCCCACCCAGCTCCTGTGCCCTGCTTTACATCCAGGCTCCACCTCGCACTCCTACCATGAGCACTCTTCAGCAACCTACCCCCAGTCCTGTACCCTATCACAAGGCCATGCACCTGCACCCAGCCACCCGCTCAGACCCCACTCTGTCACCAAGGCCCTGTACCCTCCATCCACAGTCCAATACAACTCTTTGGCAAGTAGGTTTATTAGTACACAGGAATACAGTGTAGAGCAGACTTGTCAGCACAATAACCAGAAGCAGTCAGTACAATCCATCTCAGGGAGGAGGGCCCGGAGCCCTGACATCACACTCAGCAGGCCCGCGCTCCCCTGCAGCCAGCCCCGCCTTCAGCCTTTGTCCAGCTCCCCAGGTAAAATATGTCACTGGGTGTCACTCCCCTTCTCAGGCTCAATTTAAAGAAAGCATCAGCCACTGTGTAAATAGGGAAGCCTGTCACACCACAAGTCCAATCACTCTCTCACTTGGTGCAGTCTGCAGGGAAACTGAGGCACACAGTCAGGGTAACTACAGGACAGGACAAATTGCATGCAACATAATAGAGAGAACAGAGCAAATACAACCCCCCGCTTTGTCACACCCCCCCCAGCCTGCTTCTGAACCCTACCTCCTATCCAGACCCCCCCCGTCCCACCCTGCTCTGTACCTACTGCTCAGCCCCTGCACCCTCACTCTCCTCCCACACACTTCCCACCCATACCCCCAGCCCCCTCCCCATCTCCTCCCACACAATCAACCCCTCGCTGTTGGCCACACCCCAGAACCTAGGTGGGGGCCCACAAAAAATCCACTAGCCCTGGGTCCCCCAAAGAATTACTGCAGCCCTGGGGGAAGGCCTGAGCCTTGGGCACCTCCCTCCCCTGCAGGGTGGAGTACAAAGGGAACTCTGGCACCATAACTTCCATGAATGAAGCAGCTTTTTTTTTTTCGGCTTTGGAGTTGGAGGCCATATCAGTGAGGAGGTGGTTGTTTGTTTCTCACTTGTGTTTGGTCTCTGATTTTCCTGTAGGTCAGACGTCCCCAACCCAAAAAAGTTTTCCCACCCTCTCTCAATACAATGAAGGGTTAGTACTGCACTACATCGGACTTAAGCAAGTGTAAATCATTTCTTGCATTTAAAATGTAAGGTCAGACTCAATTACATTTGTAATCATTAGCTAAGATTCCTTACTAAATGTTTTTCTAAAAAAAAACCCACCATTAATGCAATGCTTCTAAAAGTGAAACGATCATTCATGATGAGAATGAAAAACATTATGATACAGCATTAGTGATGAGAATGAAAAAACTGAAGTAAAGGACAGCAATAGATTTTGCATTAGGAGTAACAGATTTCACAACACAGGATGGTAAAAGTTGTATGTAGTTTAACTTCCTGGAAAAACGAGGGCTCTTTTTTATTCACACTTCCCTGATATTAAGAGGAATTTTATTGAGAATTTATAATAAAAGTAAAATAGAAGTAAATAAATTTTCACGCAGCTATAACAAGGACTCATTTTATAAAAATAACTACAAGTCAAGAGAAAGTGTTTCTGCTGTAACGAGTACAAAGCATTACTGAGCATATACATCAAAGAGCATAAAACCGGCAAGACAAGAAAATGTCCACTCTTGTGACTTAACACAGTTCAGGCAGTGTCATTTTAGATTTTTTCATGGAGTAACTTTTATTCGGGAAACAATTTCATTCACAAAACTGTTGTTCTTTGCCAGCACTTCAGCTTTCATTTCTTTCAGTTTGGTTCTGATGTCTTCTTCAGACATGTCTGTCAAGGGCAATGCTTTCACTTTGCAAAGGAAATCCTGAATTATTTTTTCACCTTCCTGAAATAAAAATGAAAGTGTTTAATCTTTAAGCTCACTCTCTGTACAGTCCCACCAAGCAAGTATTAAGAAGAGAATTTCATTAAGCATCAGAAGTTTTCTGGAAGTAAATGATGTAGTATCTTTGCACTTTGGCAACAGTTGGAATACCCGATTAGCTATTGTGAAGCTAAACTGCAAATAGAAACATGTTTTAATACAAAAAGAAAAGACAAGTTATTACCAAGCAACCAGAGACTGACAGTCTTTAAAAGGAACACATGAAAATAGAAACGCTTAGTGCATTTGCCTTTAAGAAAACCGATGAGCGGAGCTTTTTAAAACTGAAGTGATGAGCAATAAGAGCACCAAACAAATTATTCATTAGTATTTGAAATCCCTGTGCTGATAACACTATTTGTCAAGACTACAAGATTCTGCATAAGCCTCTACTGTACTGTGGGACTCCCATCGCAATAATCTGCTTAATCCTGTAGCTCCCAGAATTGTGATTTCATTGTATGAAATGCTTATGCACAGCACATCCAGTGAGGGAACCCTCCATCAATGAAAGGATTTGGGGATATTACAGCATGTGTCTGCTTCTAGAAGTGATGCTGATGCATCTGCTAAGCGAGACTGGCAAAACACATGCAATATCTTCAGTATTTTTCACACACCTAAGAATGAAATGTTTCTCCCTCCTTTGTGAGGACTGCGATAGTAGGGGTATGTCTAGATTACATCCCTCTTTTGACAGAGGGATATAAATTAGGCACTTCGAAATTGCAAATGAAGCCAGGATTTGAATTTCCCATGCTTCATTTGCATAATCACATAATGGCGCTCTTTCAAAAAAGCACTATTTCGAAAGTAAAACCGTAGTCTAGACGAGGTTCTTTTGAAAAGGGATCCTCAGGTTTACAGGATCTTTCAAAAAAGCCTTCCCTTTTCGAAAGAACCACTTCTAGACTGCGGTTTTACTTTCGAAGAGAAGAGTAAGGAGATGGCCAGCAGCTGAGCTGGCTGGGGGACTAGTGGGGCTGGTGCTGGCAGCAAGAGTCCTCCCCTTCCTCCACACTTACCGGAGGGGGAAGCAAAACAAGGTGGCCCCAACTGTTGGCTGCTTTGCTTTCCCAGCTGTGCCCCTCCAGAGGAGGGGGCAGGACTCTGCTGTGCTTCCTGGCAGAAACAGAGCAATGCAGCTGGAGTAGCAAAGCAGCTGTGACTGCCTTGCTCCCCTTACTCTGCCACTGAACGAAGAAGGCATGGGTGGACCACTGTTGCCTGCACTGGCTCCCTGGGCACTTCGGTTGTGGGAAAAGACAGGGCAGGGATGTCACCGAGGTGTGGGGGAGTCACTGGGCCCTCCACCCCCATCCGCAGCCAGATGTGACTCTCAGGCAGCAGGTAGAACAGAAGGTTTTTTTCAGCTCACAGGGATACAGTGTAGAACAGACTTGTTAGCACAGGAACCATGATAGTCAGAACAGTCTATCTTGGGGAGAGGGGACTCAGAGCCAAGGGCCCAACTCCTCATCTCTGTGCCAAGCCAGCCAGAGTCACTCATACGCAGCAGCACATCTCTGCCTTCAGCCAGTACTGCAGGTGCAGACATTTTGCACATTTCTACTGCTGGGTGCAGGGGCAGTATTAGTATGAAACGTGTCTGAAGCATTGGTGGTGGTGAGCACCGAAGTGGTGCTGGAGCTTCAAAGATCAGCATCACAGGGTCAGCCTGAGCTTTGGCACTGCAGCCATCAGCACCTGATTGGGTACAGTGACTAAAGGTGGATCTAATCTATTACACTAATATTAGAAAACAATATGAACCTAACTTTTTACTAGCATCAACTATACTAACCAGGCCTATTTGAGGCTGAAGAAATTAGTGCAGCTGAACCCTCACATAACAGGTCAAAGAGTGGGTCAACTGCAGATCCATCCAAATAATACGCTGAACAAATATGAACAATTAATTTACATGTAAACTAAATCACAACAAAAGGCACGTGCACACAAACCCAAACCAACTAATTCTGGCCTTTGGCCCATGTGAGAAAAAACTTAAGTGATAGCTGGAACCATCGTCCCATCTATGCCTTAAGTCCCTATTGTTCAGCACAGTAAAATGACATGCATACAGCTACCCCTACACTGCTTTCTAAAGGGTTCATATTGTGCACAACTTTTTTCAGTGAATCACAGAACACTAAAACTGGAAGGGACCTCTAGAGACCATCCAGTCCAGTCTCCTGCCCTCATTGCAGGACCAAGCACTGTCTAGATCATCTTTATAGATGTCTATCCAACGTGCTCTTAAATATCTCTAGTGATGGAGATTCCACGACCTCCCTAGGTAGCCTGACATAGATTTTGTATGGACTACATTAACAAACCTCTTTTTCTCTGTAGCGTCTTTTAGCTGCTGGCTCTCCTTCAGATTCCTCAGGTTTTCCAATATTTTGGAACTCCTCTAGCTCCACAGCCTTCTCTTTTGCACTCTCTATTACATGCTTTGGAAAAGCAGCAAGTTCTGCTACATGTATTCCAAAACTCTGATCACAGACACCTAAAGAAAAATAAAGAAAATCCAGGAGAAAGTATTTACAATGACTAACATCATAAAAACAAGCCTTGCAAAATTTCTTTTTGAGGAGTCATATGGTTTAGGTTCTCCCACTATTTCCTGGCTTGCCACCACTTAGTCTCTCTTTGATAGTACATCCTAGGAAATATGTTCTTATAATTCAAAAAAATTAAACATTTCTTTTAAGATACAATAATTTTTGTTTTCAGTATCTTAGTACTATTTATAATTACTTTAAAACATTTTTCTTTCCTCACTTTCATTCAATCGCTTTGTTATGGAGCTCTGCAGCATATAATTAGCTACACCAAGATATAAGTCTACAAATACCCACAGAAAGTTATGAAGGAAATTGGAGATTTATTCTGTACATTTTGATAGCTAGTACAACATGACATATTTCTTTTATATCAGACTTTAATGCCCACAGGAACCATCATGATCATCTAGACTGATCTCCTGCACTTCACAGACCACAGAATCTCATCTACTCTCTCCTGTAATAGGCCCAACAAGGTTTACCTCTTGCTGAGTTCCTCAACTCCTCAAAACTTTATTTAAAAGACTTCAAATCAGAGGTTCATTCTAGCTCAAACCAGCAATGACCCATGCCCCACATTGCGAAGGAAGACAATCTGACCTAGGGGAAAATTCCTTCCAAACGCCAAATATGGTGATCAATTAGGCTGAGTTTGTTGGGGAGAACTGCCAGCCAGAGACCCAAGAAAATTATCTGTAGTAACTCAGAGCCCTTTCCATCTTGCTGACAGCCAATTTATTTCCATGTGTTCTTGTGCCAACATTTTCCCTTAAGTTAAATAGCTCCTCTCGCTACCTGGTGTTTTCTCTCTATACATATATCAAAGGGATAATCATATCTTCCCTTGCCTTTGTTTTGTTAGGCAAACAAAGAAAAACTTCTTAACTCTTCTCTTGGAAGATAGGGTCTTTATTCCTCCGATCATCCTTCTCTGTACTTGTTCCAGTTTGTAGTAATCTTTTTTAAACACTGGAGACCAGAATTGCATACATTATTCCAGATGGGATCTTATCAGTACCCTATACAAAGGTAATAATGCTTCTCTCTTTCTACTGGAAAAATGCCTGGTCTAATGTATCCTAGGATTGCATTAGCCTTTTTCACAGTTCTTTCTTTCTGTGGGTACGTCTAGACTGTGGGAGTTTTCCAGGATACTTCTGGTATCCCAGAAAAACTCTGCCGCATCGAGGGAACACGTTTGCTTTTCCGCTTTTTTTTGGCGGAAGAGCAAACGCAATCTTTCAGGGAGCCCTGTATACATCATTCTACAAGGAATAAGTACTCTTCCAAAAGAGGCTTTTCCGCCATTTGGCCCTGTCTAGATGGGGCCAAATGGCGGAAAAGCCTCTTCTGGAAAAGCAATCAGAAAAAGCTACACAAATTGCACAGAGCAATTTACGTAGCTTTTTCTGAAAAAAGGCTATCGTGTAGACCTAGCCTGTGTCTTTTCCACTTGATAAGCCTCGATCTTATAGTTATTTTCATAGGGTACATTTAGACTACAGGCTTTTGTCGACAGATACTGTCGACAAAGGTTCTGTTAACAAAGAATGTCTCGACTTCAGCCAGTTCTGTCAACAAAGCAAGCCACTTTTTCAACAGAGTCTAGACACTCTCTTTTGAAAAAAGCACAGTGTGGATTCAATAGCGCCTTTTGTCAACAGAACTCTGTCGACAAAAGGCGTTATTCCTCGTAGAATGAGGTTTACCGCCGTCACCAAAACTGACGCGTTCTGTCGACTTACTGTCGACAGAACTTGGCGGTAGTATAGACGCAGGTATAGTTTTGTTGACAAAAGTCCACTTTTGTCGACAATACCCTAAAGTCTAAACACACCCCAAAGTGCAGGACCTTGCATTCTGAACTATCAAATTTCATGCCACAGCTATTGCTCCAGTTTTCAAGGTCTTTCAAATCTCCTTGTATACTATTGTGGTCCTCCTTTGTATTGACGATACCTCCCAACTGTGTGTCATGTGCCAACCGGTGATAACCAAGTCTCACTTCTTGTGCTAAGGTCATAAGTGAAAACACTGAAGAAGACTGGCCCCAAGACCAATCCTTGAGGAAATCCACTAGTCATCTCCTTTCAGCCTGACAGTTTACCTTTCAGTATGACCCTCCGTAATCTCCCCTTTAACCAGTTCCTTGCTCATCTTTTGATTCTTACATTAATCCCCCTCTTCTCCACTTTAATCATTTTCTATGTATCTGTAACTGTATTAGATGCTTTACTGAAATCCAGGTAGGTTCCTTTGTCAGAAAATCCATTATCTTCTCAAAGGAAGATCAGGCAAGTCAGGTACTATCTACTGTGATAAAGCTCCTCCTCAACCTTGGTGGATTCTGTGCATTCAGGCAGATTTCTTGCCTAAGAGGCTCACAGCAGCCATCAGTTTAGATACTTTTTCTAGGACACCAGCTTGCCATTGGCCGGGCCACTCTCATAATTGGCCAGAATGGGGAAAAGATGGGAGTCCAAACTCCATAGTCTCTGCTGCCCCTCCAAATGATACAGGGCAGTACAGACCCCTTTACCAAAACTAGTCTTTCTCTGGTGAGAAATGGAGAGTTGGGGGGAGCGGAGGGAGAAACTCGGGCCCATCCTCTGCACCAGGGACCCTGCAATATCAGCTGCTTGTAATGTCTCCAGTGTCAGCTGCAGGGCAGCTATGATCCCCTGAGCCATTTCCCCATGATCCTCCCCAGCACCTTCCTTACTGCAAGCGCACAGTCAACCTGTGGAACTCCTTGCCAAAGGATGTGGTGAACACTAGGAGTTTAACAGGGTTCAAAAAAGAGCTAAATAGATTCATCAAGGTTAGGACCATCAATGGCTATTAGCCAGGATGGGTAGGAATGGTGTCCCTGGCCTCTTGTTTCTCTGGAGGTAGGTGACAAGGGAGAGATCATGTGAGGATTACCTGTTGTGTTCCCTCCCTCTGGGGCATCTGGTATTGGCCTATCAACAGACAGGATACTGGGCTGGATGGACCACTGGTCTGACCCAGGATGGAAATTCTTATGTTCTTAACCTCCTGTTAGCTGCTTTCACTTGCTTCTCCAAGACCTTCCAGAACAACTTCTCTCCCCAGCTCCTTGCACACAGTGAGCTAACAGAAGGGGAGCTCATTCTAACCAGTCCCAACTGGTTCTTCATTGGCTCCAGGTGTCCTGATTAGCCTGTCTCCGTTGATTCTGGAAGCCTGCTAACTGGCTCCAGGTGTTTTAATTGGCCTGATTGCCCTGATTGATTCCAGCATGTTCCTGCTGGTTCTGGGTTAGCTCATTAGTTTACACTGGGAACACGGACCTATTTACTTTAGGGCTAATATATTTCCCTTCTATTAATCTCCTGTAGTCCTCTGGTCTGACCCATCACACTGTCTTTAATAAAAAGCATGTTTTATTTTACCTGAATTACTGTTTAGCTATAGGTCTTTAATTACTTGTCTCTTTCAAATTTTCATTTAAGAACTTGCATACAATTGAGGTCAAACTTTTGGACATGTAGTTTCCTGGATTACTTCCCCCTCCCCTTTTCTTAAATATAGGTACCATATTTGCATTCTCCAGTGATATAGTACCTGAATTTATTGATTCACTAAAAAACCTTGCTTTTGGGCTTGCAATTTCATATGCTAGTTGCGTAAATAATATTTTGCTAGATATTAATTGTTCCATAAGTTAGCTAGCTGATATCATCAATGATTATGCCTCCATACATTTAAACATTTGTTAATTAAGATATATGTATCTGGAGACTACAGTTTTATTTCTTTTTACCATTTTACTAAACTGTTCTGGTAAACGCTAACACCTATCCTCCCTGTAGAAATGGGTTCTACACATTTTTGCTCTAACACAAAATGTTAAGAAATGTTGTTAATTAGACAAATGCAGATCTGAAATCATTTGAGAAGGGTATCTCCTTTTAACAGCACAATATGAAAAACGGGACGAAAAGCTTTAATCTATGCTGCAGAATTAAAACTGGGGATCAGAAAACAACTCATTCATTACCAAAATGTACTGATTTTCATCTGTATTCACCAAGAGATGCAGCACTCTGTACATAAGAGAGAAATGGACTAAATAATTAGTGATGGCTAAGAATAGCTAAGACCTAGTTTTAGAATACAAAAAGTAGTTCCATGACTTTTTGCAGATAAGGCATCTCTCCCATGGCATCTGATAGTTTCATCTTTTTCAGCATTTACAAGATCTCACCTTTCTTGACACGGTAAAGCATGGTCAACATCCCATCAGTGGTTAGTGCTGTAACATGTAAATTATTCACAGTTGGCACTTCATTGGCAAGTGCTGTCAGTTCATGAAAATGCGTGGCAAACATACAGAAAGCACAAATTTTGCTGGCGATATATTCTGAAATAGCCCATGCCAACCCAAATCCATCGTAGGTTGAAGTTCCTCTTCCCAACTCGTCAATAATTATTAAAGAGTTTTCAGATGCAGTCCTAAAATAAATACATTTTTTCAAAGTTTAGATAGCGCAAGCTCTCTAAAATTTAAAATTTAGTCTAATGCCAAGTGCAGTTAACTGTAAGCACATACTATAAAATAAATGATATTATACAAGATGCGTGATCAGACTTGCATGACAATGTGTGAATGAAGATGGGCATTCATTAAATAAAACACTTGGGCTGGTCTCATCTAGGAGTACCAGTATTTATGGTGATAACTTACTTTTCTCTCAGTAATAGAAACAATAATAGTACAGTATAAAGAAATCCTTGAAGATAATCTCCACTCTCTTAGATGAAACACAAAGGAGGTACAGCTCTTACCGAAGAATTGAAGCAGTTTCTAACATTTCCGCCATGAAAGTCGAGACACCCTTCAACTGGCTGTCTCCTGCTCCTACCCGAGCCAGAATACAATCCACAATAGTCACTTCCGCTGAGTCACATGGTACAAAGCACCCAATTTGGGCCATCAGAACTATGACTCCAGTCTGGCGAATGTATGTTGATTTCCCTCCCATGTTAGGACCTAAGAAATTAATTTTGACGAGAAATTAATACATTTGCTCCCTCTCCCTTGTACATACAACTTTAAGGAACTCTTAAGGTTAAACTAAATTTAAGCTAAAATTGACATGTAAAAATGTCTTCTTGCCTATATAATCAACAACTGCAACAAGTAGCTCAGCTTCATGGATGGGCTTACTTGCAACTGCAAATATATGACGGAACTTTTTCCTAAAGAAAAGACAAGTTACCTGTTCTCTAACTGGTGTTCTTTGAGATGTGTTGCTCATGTCCATTCAACAGAGTTATGTGTGCTTGCCACATGCACCGGTGCTGGAAGTTTTCCCCTAAGCAGTACCTGTAAAGGCCGGGGTCCCCAGCACTCCCTAGAGTGGTGCATACATGCCACACTATCTAGGATGCCCTGGCCCCTCCCTCCTCAGTTCCTTCTTGCCAGAACTCCGACAGAGGGGAGGAGAGTGGGAAGTTGAATGGACATGAGCAACACATTTTGAAGAACACCTCTTACAAAACAAGTAACTGTCATTTCTTCTTCAAGTGCTTGCGCATATCTGTAAGCAGTGTGCACAGAGGTGGGTAGGAGTTATGAGAATGCAGACTACAGTACAGACCTGCCAGATGCAGCATCATCTCTAGCCTGCTGCGTGATGGCATTATGAGACATGAAGGTGTGCACTGACAATCATCACCGCTCAGCAAATGTCCTGGATTGGGACATGTGGAAGGTAAGAGCGCAATAAGGCCTGAGCTCTGGCAGATGGGCCCTGATCAGCTTCAGCAGCTGAGCCACTGCCAACTCTTAGCACATGTGGATGCAGGGAGTGATCCACTTTGAAAGTCTCTGGAGGAAACTGCAGAACCCCTCCCATGCTCCACAAAGAGCTGTGAGAACTTGCAGAAGGACCTTATCTTTTCAACTCTCAAGGAGAACCCTCCAAATGATGTCTGAACACGCAACCACAGATGAACCATGCCGTCAGGAGGAATGAGCTGAGGTTGGATGTAGCAGACACTCTTAGTCCTGGGACAACAAGTCTTGTCTTAGTGGCAACCGCTTGGGCACATGGGATACTAGGTTCATAAATGCCCCCAAAGCCAGGCTGGTACAATGAGGATTACCATGGCTTTGTCTCCTCTTGACCTTCTGCAGGACCTTGTCAATGAGGGGAAACTGAGGAAAGGTGTAAATACAACCCTCCGACCACTGGTACAAAAACACACCTGAAGGGAACCCTACTTGAGGCCAAGCTGGGAACATAACCAGCCGCATTTCACGTTTTCTCTCATCATAAAGAGGTCCACTTGGGAACAGCCCCAGTCGTGGAAGAGGGAGGCAGTCACCTCAAGTTATACAGCACACTCATGGTGAAAGGAGAACTCTCTGCTGACATGGTTTGCAGTTGTGTTCTGTACCTCTGGGAGATGACGGGCCTCTAGCACAATGCTGTGAAGGACACAACTCCCAGAGCCTCACAACTTTCTTGCAAATTTCTGGGGAGCGGCTCCCCCCTTGCCTGTTTATGTAATACGTGGCAGCAGTATTCTCGGTGAGAACATGCATCATTCTGCACACGAGGGGAGGAAGAAACACCCCGCACACATTGCTGATTGCCCTGAGCTCTTCTATATTTATGTGGAGCCCTCTGTCCTATACAGACCACACTCCATGAGTATGAAGAATCCCTATGTCAGCCCCGCCAAACACAATCCGAAGTGTTGGCAACTAGTTCCCTCACGTGTGGTTGATATGGGATGCCCAACGTGACCTGGTCTGGTTTTGTCCACCAGACCGGGGCCGACAGCACATGAGGGAGAACCACCACCCCTCTTTCTTGGGAGTACATCACTGGTACATACACCGACACCAGCCTCAGCAGGAGGGGCCTTATCCTGAGCCTATCCAGGGGTACTTCATACTTGCAGGTGGCCATATGCTCAAGGATCTCCAGACACACCCTTGCGATGGTCATGGGAGTGCTAGTTAGCTGCCGAAGGAGGACCAATAGGGCCTCGAAACTGAGGGAGCGATGCTCTGGCAGAGCAGGAGTCCAGAACTGCTCCTATAAACTCTATCCATGGAGTCGGCACTAAGAGACCTTTTTCAATAGACTGAGCTTGGTAGTGCATGTCCAGGAGGATACTTACATTGCACCGGACCTTAAGTCTCATTCAGGTAAGTGTATACCTGAATTCCCGACACCTCAGGTAAGCAGCAACCACATGCACTTGGTGAAAACCCTGAGGGCCGTAGACAGGCCAAAGGGCAGGACAGTAAACTGGTAATGGTTCTTTCCCACTACAAACCTCAGGAAGCACCTGTGACCTTCAGAGATTGCAATACAGAAGCACGCATCCCTGAGGTGGAAGGTGGCATAACAGTCCCCAGGATCCAGGTCAGGAAAGATGGAGGCCGAGGAAACCAGGCAGAACTCGAGGCAGATCAGGAACTTGTGAGGCCGCAAAAGTCCAATATAAGCCATAGCCCTATTTCACCTTGGGAATCAAAAAGTGGCAGGAGTATAAACCTTTGTTCTTGAATTCTGACAGCACCCACTCCACTGCTTCTACGTGAAGCAACTGGGATAGCGCCTGCTCAAGAAGATGCTTGTGAGAAGGGTCCCTAAAGAGGGACAGAGGTGAAAGGTGTGAGGGTGGTGTGAAGGAGAGATGGAGGATGCAGCCATGCTGGACAGTGGCTAGGACTCAATAGTCCAATGTAATAACCATAACCCTCCATGCCAGGAGGAAGGGAAGGAGGCTGAAGGAGAACAGGCAGGCAGGACCTTGGGTGTCTGGTACGCTGTCCTTAGGCACATCTGCAAAAGGAATGCTTGCCCTGAGGTTTCGCCCGGCTGGTGGATTGTTGGCCAGACTGAGGATGGTGGCCTGGTCTCTGTTTGGGGAGTTTCGGGCCTGAATGGGCCTTTTCTTGGCAAGGATACTGCCCTTTGGGTTGGGAGGACTGAGGTTTGAACCTCCTCCTCTCAGTCCTGGGGAATCCAAGGCCAATGGTTTTCAAGTCGTACAGGAGTCCTTTAGTCTGTGCAACTTAGTGTCCATCTGTTCTGCAAACAGGGCACTGATGTCGAAAGGAGGTTCAGGACAGAGACAGGCCCAACAGAAGGAGCCAGGAACCATGATTCATGGAGATGGCGGAAGCCACAGAGTGAGCAGCCAACTCCACAGCATCAGACGTTACCTGTAAGGATGCCAAGGCCACCGAAGACCCGTCCTCCACTAGGGCTTTAAACTCCTTATGAGGCCCTTCAGGCAGGGAGGCCTCAATCTTGGTCAGCACCTGCCAAGTGTTGACCTCATAACGGGGGAACAAGAACTGGTGATTCATCACCTGCAACTGGAAGCTGGCTGTAAATAAAGTTCCCTGCCAAACAGGTCCAGGCGTTTCGAGACTTTATTCTTGGGGGAGGGGATCAGCTGGCCCTGGTGCTCCCTGTGGCTCACCGATTCCACTACAAGGAAATTGGGTGGTGTGTATGTATAAAGGTAATCATGGTCCCCCACCGCAACAAAGTATTTCTGCTCGGTCCTCTCGGCTATGGGCAGAATGGAAGAAGGGGCCTGACAGTCTTAGTGATTTTGGCAACCACCTTGTGCAGGGGCAAGGCTACTCTGTGGGGTTTCACTTGCTCAAGGACCCCAAACAGTGAGTCTGAGGTCTCCTGCACCTCCTCAGGCTGGAGGCCCAATCTCTTAGCCACCCGCCTCAGGAGGTCCCGGTGGGCTCTGAGTCCTCCAGGGTACCACCCAGGGAGAAGCCACTGTTGCCTCATCCATCAATGAAAAAGAGGAAACCAGGGCCGGTTGGCCTTCCTCACTTGGCCCAACCACCTGCTGTGGAGGGGCTGATGCTCCTGCATCCCCTTGAAGCCCAAGTCAGGCAGTGAGGGCTGCGCCAACTGTTGCACCAGAGGAATGGAAGCCAAGGCCAAGGCCACACTGCAGGAGCGGACACTTCCCGATGCCCAGGATGAAGAGCAGGAGCAGTAACCACTTCAGTATGGAGACTTTGGTGACAGACGGCACCCAGCGTGCCTATGAGAGCTACAGCACTCAGAAGATCCACTCCCCAAGTCCAGGGAATGGTACTGGAGAAGGAAGCCACAGAGCTGAGAAGGGGACTAGGATTGCTGGGATGAGCCTCTGCAGCTGGTAAGTATCTACAGCACGGCAATGGTGCCAGTGCTGTGGGGAGGAATCCCATCGGTGCCTTTGGTACGGGGCACAGAGGGACAACATGTGCCTCTGCAGGCCTGTGCACCGACTCCAGCCAGGCGGGAGACCAAGTGTCATCCCCCCAGTCTCTCAAAGACAGACCTATGAAGACTTTGTGATGCTCTCCTCTTGGACGCTGGAGGAGAGTGGGACTGAACCATGATGGGTGATTTGGGGCCAAATGGAGGTTTTCCCCTATGCCGTGGCCCCACTGATGTCAAGATCAGAGGTACCGGCATGGTACATTTGTCCTGTGGGTCCTGGAAAGCCTCTGGCATGGAGGGGAGATGGACCTCCAGCACCGGGGAAGGTGACCTGAATGGAGGGTTTGGAGCCTTCTGGGCCTTCCCCAGCCTGTCTGCCAACCGGTCACTCTTCTTCCCCTTGTCCTTAGGAGGGGACTTGTTTCTGTCTGGCTTCTTAGTGCTTTGCTGGTGCTGTGGGTGACAAACGACCCAAGCTGTTGATGCTGGCTGTGTACCGAAGTACCAATACTCGGTGCCAAGTCCAATCTTTGGTCTTGTGGAGCAAGCACAGACTCAATTAAGAGCATGGAGATGCATGCTCCTTTCTTTAATGGTTCTGGGATGGAAGGACCTGCAAAATCGACATTTGTTCAAGGTATGTCCTTCACTCAGGCAACGAAGGCAGTCAGGATGCGGATCGCTGACTGGCATGGACTTGTTCCCCAGGCAAAGTCATTAGGAGAATCAAAAGTCTAGCACTTCATTGGTACTTAGCAAATTTGATTAAAAATACCAACACTGCAATGGAAATGCTAGCTACAGAGATGGCTGGAGCATGGTGTTCCAAGCACCATCACTGGCGGTAAGAAGGAACGGAGGAGGGAGGGGCCAGGGAGCGTCCTATATAGCATGGCTTATGCACACCACTGCAGGGTGTGCGTGGGACCCTGGCTCCTATGGGTACTGCTTAGGAAAAAACTTCCAGCACTGGTGCATGTTGCAGGCATATACACCTATGATGAATGGACATGAACAAGCACTCAAAGAAGAATTTTTGAATAACCTGACTTCTCAAAAACATGAGCAACAATCTAAAGTTCATGTACATACTTCTAAATTAAAGCAAAGGTAGAAGAGTTTAATTTTATGCTTAGTCTTGATAGTGCTTCCTGTCAACAGGGAATACAGTTTAAGTTACAAAACCAATTGCTTTCTTCACAGTCTGCTCCATATAAAACTATTTTTAAAGTGATTTATTAAACAAAGGAAACATTAAATAGTTAGTGAATTTGTGATTATTTCTGTTTGTTAGGCTGAAGAATGAAGTTGCCCTTTTAATGAAATACATCTACCAATGTGACATTATGTGACCTCATTAAATTGCGGCCCAATTTTTATAAATGGGATTTGGATGAATTTGTCAGTAACCTATTAAGAGTTGCCTTCAAAGAATCTTTTATTGTAACAAACCCCATTTCAAACTTTGTACTACCTTAACTCTGTTTAAAGTTAGGTATATGACCATATAACTTCATTTAAAAGTGTGAACATGACGTGTGAATAAGGACAAGTGTAGAGTCCTGCACTTGGGACAGAAGAATTCCAAGCATTGTTACAGGCTGGGGACCAACTGGCTAAGTAGCAGTTCTGCAGAAAAGGACCTGGGGGTTACAGTGGATGAGAAGCTGGACATGAGTCAACAGTGTGCCCTTGTAGCCCAGAAGGCTAATGGCATACTTGGTTGCATTAAGAGGAGCACTGCCAATTGATCCAGAGATGTGATTATTCCTCTTTACTTGGCTCTGGTGAGGCCACATCTGGAGTATTGTGTCCAGTTCTGGGCCCGCAATTACAGGAAGGATGTGGATGCATTGGAGAGGGTCCAGCGGAGGGCAACCAAAATGATTAGGGGGCTGGAGCATATGACCTACGAGGAGAGGCTGAGGGAGTTGGGTCTATTTAGTCTGCAGAAGAGAAGAGTGAGGGGGGATTTGATAGCAGCCTTCAACTTCCTGAAGGGAGGTTCCAAAGAGGATGGAGAAAGGCTGTTCACAGTAGTGATGGATGGCAGACCAAGGAACAATGGTCTTAAGTTGTGGTGGGAAAGGTCCAGGTTGGATATTAGGAGAAACTATTTCACTAGGAGGGTGGTGAAGCACTGGAATGGGTTACTTAGGGAAGTAGTGGAGTCTCCATCCCTAGAGATGTTTAAATCCCGGCTTGACAAAGCCCTGGCTGGGTTGATTTATTTGGGATTGATCCTGCCTTGGGCAGGGGGCTGGACTTGATGGCCTTCTAAGGACTCTTCCAGCTCTATGATTCTATGGGTGCAGCTTTACCCTGAAGCCAGCCTATGTGGGTGACCAGCTGCCAGTACCAGCTTGATGGCTGAATAACAATGACAATGAGCCTGGAAAAGAATCCACCCAAGAAAGAGACAAAACCCCATCAAGAAAAGAAGATCAAAGTCACCTCAGCTATTAACTGATGACTCATGGTCCTACAGTGCGGGGGGAAGCAGTGAGACAGCACAAGATCTATGGACTAAAACATATAAGAAGATGGGTGTAAAACTATAGGATTGGGTCTTTCAGTTTTACAAATCAGCCTCCAGGAGCATTGGCGTGCACTGATACAACCAAGCTCCCTTCCTTATATCTAGACTATCTGCACAAGTGAGGTTGCTAATTATATCCCATCTGTAGAACTGTGTATACATGTGGAGGACAATTTTAGTAACTAGGGACAGTAAATTAATTCTGCCTTCACAATAAATAAAGCATATTGCCTTATCCCCCAAACAAGTTTCTGTTGAAGGTTGAACCTCTCTAAACTCGTACCCTGGGGACGTGACTGGTGATAAACTAGAAAATTTGCTGAACCACAGGAGGTCAATATTGACTAGCAGCATTACCAACATTTCGACTGCTCACAGGGCTCTTAGAAAACATTTAGGAGTAAATTAGAGCTAAACAACAGCATAGAACACTGAGACAGGACTGGTATAAACAAACCATCGGACTGTGGGAAACTTGGCCACACCCATGGTAAGTGGACATCTAGCTAACTAAAATCATGCCGGAGCACGGATGTTAAAAAAAACAGAGACTGCCGACTAGAAATGTTCAACCTGTAGTTCTATTTCTCTAAGTGTAATGTGGTTACCTACCTTGCTCAAAAGTTTGCTGAAATCCTGTTTTTTTGTGTGCGCCTAAATACTTTTGAAAATCTGGCTCCATGTTCTTCAAGTTTTCAGAATTAATACACCTCATCCTCTCCCATCTAATTTTCATTAGTAGACTGGAAGAGGAAAACAGGCTTTCCTGATTTTCAACATCCAGTCAGTTTCTCATATTTCAGGTAACTGCTCCAAATGAATGGACAAAATATTCTCTGCATCCACTAGACATATAAACCAAAATCTGAGGAGGGTTTGTTACTGCAGCACTCCTTTATGTAAGTGACTGTAATACATTATAAAAAGTTTAGGCCTTAACACAGGTTGTCAATTTCAAATTTAAATAGATTTTCAAAAGAGAAGTGTTTAATTTACATCCGACCCACCCCCTTTTAAACCATCAATTTTTATCCACTCTGGTAACAGAAAAGTATAGCAGATTATTCATATTAAAGATAAACTTTTACAGGAAATGTACACATAAAGTACATACACTATTTTCAACAAAGTGCACATCTATACGCAATATAGATAACCACATTGTCTATTGGACATATTAAAACACTAGCTCCTGTAAAGTCTACCAGAAAATAATCAGCACTCATACTATCAGTGTGATATTTATACATCTCCATTGGTAAATCACATTAGCAATAACCTCTGAACTAGGACTGCAGACAAAATTTTCAAATACAATGGCCTATCAATCATAACATAATGCAATCACGATGCATTTCAAGTGAGATTCTGGGATCCCTGAAGGCTAAAAACATGGCTTCCTCCAGGTATGTAGAGTGGCAACCCTGTGGCTGGTATTACGAGTAACTTCACCTTATAAAAGAAGAGTTTATTATATCACTAATCCATTAAGTTTAATAGGTTATACTAACTTATAAAGTAGTCCACTGTATATTAATTTAAACAGAGAAATTTAACATTCCCCTAAATGTTAACTTATAATGCTGACCAAGTGTATTCCACAGAAATTGTGAACATGTACACTGTGTTATCTTTTACAGTGCTATGGGATTTACCAATATCTTGTATGATCTTTCTCTCTTCTACCCAAACAATCCTGTTTAAATGTTATCAGACCTGAAATGCCATAACCAGCATTCCCACAAACATACTTTTAATTCCAAACATGCTGACATTCTATGACTAGTCATTCTAAAGACCGGTGAGTCCATGTGTAGGAAGTACACAGCTCCAAAGAAAACATTTTTAAGTACATCACGGCCACTTTTTGTTTTGTTTTAAAGCATGTACTTTTTAACCATAACCACCCTAAAAATATAGTGGTGCTAAAACAGGTTTATAAAATGCCATCTCATCTTTTTTCAAAACCTGACCTAAATGCCAACACTGGCATAGGTAAATCATTAAAAGATCTCTTCCCCCTCACCTATAAAGCATTAAATGGTTGACATACTTATTTAAAAAAATACATTTCCTACAAGAAATACTTCAAAATTAACTTTGCTTCTTGAGTTTAAATGAAAACTAAAAATATTGCATATAAATTAGTCTTTACCAGTAATAATATGGAACATCTGCTTGCCCTTCTCAAAGTGAACATCATTGGGGATGAACGCTATATCATCTTGAACTTCAATGCAAGGGTGTCTGCAACCTTTCAGCACAATCTTTCCTTGTCCCTTTTCCAGAATAACCGGACGTACGTATGGCACAGGAGCTCCATTTGATACGTGAGCAAAACTGACAACAGCATCTAAGTGAGCTATCACATCATTCATTGTCTGTATTGGCTCTACATATCCTGTTTAAAGAAAAGCAGAACAATGCATCTATAAGTATACTGAATTTACAATTTATTCAAATAAAAAAAACAAGGACATTTTAAACCTAAATGTTGTGGATACTATGAGAAACAAAAGACTGCAAATTTGCAATGAAACTGCATGGTACATCCCAAATTAGAGTTCAACTCATCTTTCACATACTTTCCAGTCAACTTCCATGATCTGGTCACAAATCGCATGGCTTTTTATATTAAATTTCCTTTAAAGCAAATATAGAAACCAATGAAGTAATGAATCAGTCTTTAATAAAGAACTCAATTCATCTTGCAGACTGCCTATTGCAACTGATAGTTACACATCTGAGCTGAATGATAATACAACTGTGTAAAACAGACTTAACTGCTCATGTGATAGATGATAGACTCATATACCATATCTGAAGTGACAGTTAAGTAGTTATGTGATTCCTGTAGCTGGACCACAAATGTATGATTGTTCTCAATATATAAATGGGGAAGAGGCATGCCCACTACTAATTGCCTCTTACTGGCATCAGAGAAGGGGGGAAGCTTATTTAAATATGGAAATCCTTCCCTCTCACACAATCTCTGGTGACCACTATTTGGATGTGTCATGAAAGCAAGGTTGTGAGAGCACATACTGTGTAGTTGTTTAAATTCTATAACCTGCTAATAATATTAAGTGTCTGTTAGAATCATAGAAGATTAGGGTTGGAAGAGAACTTAGATGGTCATCTAATCCAACATCCTGCTCAAAGCAGAATCAACCCCAACTAAATCATTTCAGCCAAGTTTTGACAAGCTTGGTCGTAAAAACCTCTGAAGGATGGAGATTCCACTCCCACCCTAGATAACTCACTGCTTCACCACCCTCCCAGTGAAACACTTTTTCCTAAAATCCAACCTACACCTAACCTAACCCACTGCAACTTGAGATCACCACTGAGACTAGTCTAGCTCCATCCTCTTTGGAATCCCTCTTCAGGTATTTGAAGTCTGATATTAAATTTCCTCCCCCCACCCTATTCTTTTCTTCTGCAGACTGTTGTGGGGGGGGGGGGGGGCGGCGCGTATTTTAATATCTCCAAGTGGTACAGGAAACCCCCGCCTTACGATGGCCTGAGTTGCGAACCCCTGCACTTATGTCTGTTTCTGTAAGTGCAGAAGGGGCTGAATCCCCCGACTTACATCCCAGCCCGCATTTACGATGGCACATGGTGCCTATCGGAAATGCGGGTTCAAGTTACGATGCCCCCACTTGCAACACTTCCCCAGGAACTTATTACGCTGCAAGTCAGGGGCCGCCTGTATAACATGTCAAAAAACATGACTAATACAGTGCAAAAAAATTTATTCCAGAAAATTCTACTAGACAATCTTCACCGGGAAATTAGCATTCTCTCAGGGTAGGTCTACACTACAGTGCTATTTCAAATTAACTTAATTCGAAAGAGTTAATTCGAATTAAGCTAATTTGAAATAACACATCTATACAAAAAAACTATTTTGAAATAGTGTTTTGCTATTTCAAAATAGCGCGTCCACACTGAGTGGACACTGAACCGAAGTTAAGGCTGGCCGGAACCAGTGCTGGCAGGGCATCAGGTTAGGACTTAATGTGTGGGGATGCTGCCTGAGGCTAACTGAGCTCCGTGCTTAATGGGACCCTACCCCCACCCCGGACAGACAGTTCTCAGGGTTCCCCGCTTGCTTGTTTACCTCGATGAGGGACAACAAGGCAGTCCTATCTTGGAGTGCCCATACTTGGGACACCACAGCACTCAGCCACATGTAGCCAGAGCTGCCCCTGGGCACACCGGTGCATTTCATGGGGTCATTGCCATCAGCCCGGCTGCACTTGCTGCAGGCTGCCATCTGGGGGTCCATCAGGGGGCTGTCAGGATCCAGGAGCCCTCAAAGCCTCCCTGGTCCTCCCCACCGGGGGCTCGTGCCCCATTCCTCCCTCACGTCCTTCCACTTAGCCCTCCCTAGCCTCTCTTCCCGGTCCTTCCACTTACCCCTTCCTAACCCCCCTTCCTGATGTCAAATAAAATACACGTATTTTCATGAACACAAACTCTCTTTATTTAACAAAACTGGGGGAGGGGGACAAGATGAAACTCTGGTGAGACTGGGGAAAGGAGGTGGGAGAGGGGACAAGAGAGGGTGTGAGAGGGGAGAGAGAAGGAGCTGGAAGGGGGAAGCAAGGAGAAGAAGGGGGAGGGGAAGCTCAGGGTTGGGGGTCTTGCTGGACCAACTTGATTGTCACGCAAACCTGCTCCTGGGTTCACATGTGGCCTTAGGTGGCCAGGCTTGCAGCTATAATGCCATAGACGGCCGCATTCCTCCATCAGTGTGAAGATCATGGACATTGGGGTCATCCCCCCCAAACCTGAATAAGTTCCATGATCTCCACCATGGACCAAGAAGGCACCCACCTTCTCCGGGCTCTGGCAGGCTCCTGGGAGCTGTCAGACTGCTCCTGGGGAGTGATGGAGGGCTGGCTGTCAGTGGCTTGCTGGCTCATTTTTGGGGGCCACTGGGTCAGGGCCCCCGGTGGCCACTGCTGGCTCTGGGCTGGAAGGCTTGGAACTGGCACAGGCACTATGGCCAGGGTCTACCCCTTCAATGTCTCCAGGGTTGGGGGAGAGGAGAGTAAGCTTTCCTGGTTGTACCCAGAGTGGCCACCAGGGCTCTCTGGGAAGGGCTGGAGGCCCCCTATTTCGAATTAAGTGTCTACACAGCACTTAATTCGAAATAGCTATTTCGAATTTGGCAGTACTCCTTGTAGAATGAGGTTTACCAAATTCGAAATAAGGGCTCCACTATTTTGAATTTATTTCGAAATAGCAGTTTGCCTGTGTAGATGCTATTAAAGTTAATTCAAAATAACTGCTGTTATTTTGAATTAACTTTGTAGTGTAGACATACACTCACTGAGTCTTAACTAGCTCTTGACATCTAATTCTACAATGGGGTACAGAGCAATTAAGAATTATATACCCAGTCCAGTCTGTAGAAAATTTCTATATTAAACTGCCTCCACTGCAGGCAGACAGAAAAATTATGTTTAAATATAGGTATACTCGCTAGGCTTGTGTTATAACAGCAGTGAAGTCTTTAAATAAGTGGAAAGACCTAATTGTATATATGGTGGACATTTACTGTGGAAGGTGCCATCTTTACAAACCTCTTAATTTGCTTTCATGCAGTTGCACACATCACAGAATTATAGGGTTGGAAGAGACCTCAGGTGGTCATCAAGTCCAACACTCTGCTCAAAGCAGGACCAATCCCAACTAAATCATCCTCGCCAGGACTTTGTCAAACCGGGACTTAAAAACTCCTAGGGATGGAGATTTCACCACCTCCCTAGATAACCCATTCCAGTGCTTCACCACCCTTCTAGTGAAATAGCTTTGCTTAATATCCAACCTAGACCTCCCCCATTGCTCCTTGAGACCATTGCTCCTTGTTCTGGCATCTCTCACTACTGAGAACAGCCTCTCTCCATCCTCTTTGGAACCCCGCTTCAGGTAGTTAAAGGCTGCTATCAAATCCCCTCTCAATCTTCTCTTCTGTAGGCTAAACAAGCCCAAATCCCTTAGTCTCTCCTTGTAGGTCATGTGCTCCAGCCCCCTAATCATTTTGGTTGCCCTCTTCTAGACCTTCTCCAATGCGTCCACATCCTTTCTGTAATTGGGGGCCCAGAATTGGACTCAATACTCCAGATGTTGCCTCACCATCACCGAATAAAGAGGAATAATCACTGCTCTAGATCTACTGGCAACGCCCCACCTAATGCTCTCCAAAATGCCATTAGCCTTCTAGGCTACAAGGGTACACTATTGACTCTCATACAGCTTCTTATGCACTGTAATCCCCAGGTGTTTTTCTGCGGAAGCGCTGTTTAGCCAGTCAGTCCCCAGCCTGTAACAATTCCTGGGATTCTTCCATTCCCAGTGCAGGACTCTGCACTTGTCCTTGTTGAACCTCATGAGATTCCTTTTGGCCCAGTCCTATCAATTTGTCTAGGCCACTCTGGACCTTATCCCTACCCTCCACTGTATCTACCTCTCCCCCTAACTTAGTGTCATCTATGACCTTGCTGAGGGTGCAATCCATCCCCTCATCCAGATCAATAATAAAGATGTTGAAATAAACCAGTCTCAGAACCGACCCTGGGGACACTTGGCTTGACATCAATCGCCAATCAGATATCAAGCCACTCATCACTACCCGTCGAGTCTGACAATCAAGGCGTTTTTCTATCCACCTTACCAGTCCATTTATCCAATCCATACTTCCTTAACTTGCTGACAAGCATACTGTGAGTGCAGGCGAGGATACTACGGAATGTATATTAAAGCAAAAGACAGAACTAATAGCTACTGCATGATGCAAACTATGAAAAATAAGAGCCAACCAAGCCAAACAAATGCTTGCTTTGCAATTTATTAGTAAATTCTATACCATAGTAGCAGAAAAAACATAAGCGTATGCAATTCCAACTGACTATAGTCAAGCAAATGAATACAACAGAAATTGGGAATAAAAGTTAAACAAGCTTTATGCAAAAAATCATTTTAGGGACTTTTGCAGTCTTTAATGCTAGATGTAAGTAAACAAAATTGAATATAAAACTTCAGCGGAGATAAAGACATTCAGTCTTCTAAACATTTTGTATTTATTTCATTAGGGTACAGACCAGGACCTACAATTTTTATAATCTGCAACAGTTTCTATGGCAGAATGAGAAATCTTGAAGTAATTTCTATTTATTTTCAGCATCAAATCATGCTTAACTATCTATTCCCAAAATATATTTGCTAGGAGACACAAGCTAAAGAAAAAAAAAAAAATAGGACAAAGCTATTGCAACAAGTATGTGTCACAACTGTTGCTACAAACAAGTGCACATATGCATCTTCTGTAGGTCATCATTTTACACAGCAAGGAACATACATACGCTGCAATATAAATTGATTGTTGATCCATCTGTACCTGACATTTTGCCTTCTACTAGCAGCTTGTTTGGTTTCTGGTTACTCATTCTCCCTTTCAAGCACTTGTAATTTTAACAGTTATTTAAAAACAACTTCAAAGCCAGTTCTTAAGAACAATTCACATAATTAATAAGAGCATTTATCAGATCAACTTAAAGTTAAGAAAGTATTCATAAAGACAGCACAGTTATACAACATTGCTTCCTACAATTTTTTTTTTTTTTTTTTTTGGCTATTCTTTGGCTCAAAGATGCATATCTCTCAGCTCTTTCCTTAGTGGGACAGTGACTCATTTAAATGAAGCCCGTAAATTGCTTTTTCTCCCCCCTCCCCCCCCAGATTTGGGATTTATGTTCATGAGCCTTTTAATTTTTCCCAACAAGATTTAAGAATTGCTTTGCTTCCAGATAAGTTACAATATGTCAGCACTCTTCACCCAGGAACATTAAACATTATGGCCATGTGACTAGGTGACCAATCCATCTTTAAACAGTTTGGGAGTTAAAAGGAGCAATTAAGAATTATATACCCATGCTTGAAGCCATCTACAAACTATAGATCATTTGACTTATGTATACAGGAACAAAGAAAAAGTTATAGTAAGTTCTCCAAACATTTCAACTTATTTGTTAATAGCACCTTATTTACCTGAAGCAATATTAATGATTTCTTTAACAATGGCTTCCTGAGCCTCTTCATACTCTTCTCTGTTTTTTATGTAGTCTTCATTGAAGGAGCTCAATTTACTGTGAACAAAACCACAATATTTCAAGTTGATGTTCTCAGTCTGTACTATCACTACCATCATATCGTATATATAGTAGCCCAATGTTTGTGACTAACATTGAAATGCTGGCTGTTCCCTCTGGGCGGAGACAGACAGGAGTGCAGCCAGGAAACGGCAAAAGCGGGGACTGAAGCAGCCACCAGAATCAGCCCGTTTGCAGCAGACAGGGTTGGCGCTGCAAACAAGGGCTGCTGGACTCAGTGTGAGCTGGGACCGAGCTGTCCCAGTTCGTGCTGATCACTTTGCCCCTGCATTTTAAATGTCCTAAGAGCCCGGCAGCTTTTACTACATTTAAAATGCAGAGCCACAGCATGGGTGGCTCCTGGAGCAGTCCCAGCTCAAGCTGGCTCCTGGAGCTACCTCCACGGTGGCTCTGCAGAGTAGTCCTATCGACTAATTGTTCAATTGATACAAATTGTATCAACTATACGATTAACCTGATAACTGAATTTAACATCCTTGGTATGAAATACTGATTCATCACAGGAAGTCTTATGTTTTGCCCAATAGAAGAAGGTCCATAGATACCAGGACAAACCACAGTGGAACATCAAAAGACAAGACTTTGTTGATTACTTGCCCTTCACACCTATGAAAAGGAGATATGCATGGGGACTTGTCCCAACAGCTTGAACTCTGGGGAAAGGGAATAAACCCCTGACAGGAAGCAATTGCAACTCTTTACTGCCTGGACTTGGAAGATGCAAGATTTCTAATGTAAGGGATCTCTGTGCTTGGCCTAGGTTAACCGTAGAAGACTTTAGCAACCTTTATTACACTCTCAAATGTGTTAATCTGGGGTTCCAAAGCTATGTTTTCTTGCTTTCATCATCTTTTTCTTAACATAATATATTTTTAGTTAATGTATTATACAATTGTAGTTAATTCTTGTCTTTGATGTAGAACTGAAAGTGCAGCTGATCTGGGATAAGTGACTTATTGTCTGAGACTGGAAATAACCTGAATGTTGCGATTTTTGGTATAAAGGACCATCTATCACAAAGGCAAGCTTACTTGGGTGACAAGATATATTGGCGTATGCCAGGGGACTATCTGACTCCATATTAGGACTACTGTAGTGCCTGAGGAGATCATACTTGGTACTTGGTTGGTGAAATCTAAGTTTAGAAGTCTCAAGCAATTTGAAGGCTGTGCTGCTCTCCTCCTCAGCAGTCTGCTTCTGAGCTCCTCCAAGCAACTTTACAACGTGATGTTCAAGAGACTGTTTAAATAAATGTATATACCTAAATATACCTCTAAGCTACCTTTTAATCTCCGCTCTCCAGGCTAGGGTCAATGGGGCTGTATGGTCATTGTGCCTATTCTACAAATAGAGGAAATTCAGCTCCATTACTTAGTCTATTTTGAGTGCCTTTATCGCAAACAAAATTTCAGTTTTTTCTAAAAACGATCCCTTGGCTTACAGGATTTTTATTTATAAGTAGTATCAGGATGTTTTCAATTGTTAAATACTGTTAATTAGCTATGGAAGATGCTAAATTTAATGTCAATTTTAGTTTGTGAAGTAAAATTGAGGACAAAAGATAACTGCTTTAAATTTCCGGGATGTTCTGAAGAACATTATAGTATTTCAAACAAATTAATGTTTATTCCTTCAATCTTGATTTTGATCATCTACTCAAATGTACAACACTAAAACAGCATATTTGGGGAGGCCAAGACAAGAAAATTCATTAAGCAAAATATACTAGAGAATAGAAAGAATTACTTGCCAATAGCTGAATATAAAATTCAGGGATAACTATTTTCTACAACCACCTGCAAGAATGCCTTCACTTTGGCTGTCTCTATTGACAACTGAAGCCAAATCATCCAACAAACATGGACTGAAATCAAAGTAGCAAAGATATTTGGTAGGGATGTTAAAAGGCAGGTAATTAGGTAACCGTATAATCGGTAGAAATCTTAGTGATTACACAGTAACATACTGTGGGCCTTCCGGCTGCTGGTCCCGCTCCCGGGGAGTCGGCTGCGCTGCAGGCTATGCAGTATAAGCTATGATTACACAGAAGAAGGAAAAGCCCAAGCGATTCAGTATGTAAATATGCAAACAGTATTTTTCTGAGAGAAAACCCCCACAAGTCTTGTGATGAAGTGGCAGATTGTATGTGCTCTGTTTGCTTTGTTATGTTGCATGTGATTTCTACTAGCCTCTAGTAAAACCATATGTGCCTCAGTTTCCCTGGGCACAGACCCAATAGCGAGATGGTAGTGGGAATGTGGGAGTAATAGCCTCCTGCATGTATACACAATGCCTGCTGCTTTCTGTAACCTGAGCCTGGGAGGGGGAGTGAGACCAGGTGACATCTTTTGTCTGGAAAGCTGGACAAAGGCTGGAGGCAGGGCTGGCTGCAGAGGGAAGATGGGTTGCTGGGGTGCAGAGGTGGGAGGTAGGGCCCTTGGCTCTGACCCTCCTTTCCCCAAGATGGATTGTACTGATTGTTTCTGATTCCTGTCTGTTCTATGCTGTTTTGTTGTGGACCTAATAATCCTTCTGTTCTACTTGCTGGCTCAGAGTCATATCTGGCTCTGGATAGGGATGCAAGAACCGATGGCTCCCCAACACTTTGGCTACAGGTCTGCACACAAAGGGATGAATTAGAATCTCAAAGTAAACAAATGCAGAAATAAATTGTACCTGTTTGTGAATTTCACACCATTCTTCTGGGTATCTAAGATCTTATATTTTGCATTGTTCCGGAGGACTTTCTCTTCCCGGCAGGTAATTCGGAAGTAATGTCCTAACTGTGAATTGGAGTCCAGTTTCATGTTCTTGCCAGCTTCCAAGCCTTTTCAATAAGAGGAAGGTAGGATAGGAAACAAGACATGAATGATTTCATCATTAGTAATACACCATATTATCCCCATTCTCTGAATGCTGCCTGTCAGCTGGGCTGCCTTTTAATTGATATGAGGCAAGCCAAATTTAATGTTCATCTCTTCCATGCTACAGATAGGAAACATCTGAGCTGTGTTTGAAAACAATTTCTCTCACCTCTACCATTAATTCATTAAACCTGTTCTATAACTGGTGTTCTTCGAGATGTGTTGCTCATGTCCATTCAACATAGGTGTGTGTGCCTGCCACATGCACTGGTGACAAAAGTTTTTCCCTAAGAAGTACCCGTAGGGCAGGGCTCCCCAGCACCCCCTGGAGTGGCACATGCATGTCGCACTATATAGGACACTCCCTGGCCCCTCCCTCCTCAGTTCTTTCTTGCCCGAATGCCGACAGAGGGGAGGAAGGGTAGAAGGTGCATGGACATGAGCAGCACATCTCAAAGAACACCAGTTACAGAACAGGTAACGGTCTTTTCTTCGAGTGCTTGCTCATGTCCATTCAACGTAGGCGACTGTAAGCAGTGTGTGCGGAGGCGGGTAGGAGTTATGAGAATGCAGACTGCAGTACAGACCTGCCAGATGTAGCATCATCCCAAGCCTGCTGTGTGACGGCATAACGAGATATGAATGTATGTACTGATAACCACGTGACCTCCCGACAAATGTCCTGGATTGGGACATGAGCAAGATAAGCACATGAGGAAGCCTGAGCCCTGGTAGATGGGCCCTGCTCAGCTCTGGCAGTTGAGCTCCTGCCAACACGTAGCACATGCAGATGCAGGAAGTGATCTACTTGGAAAGTCTCTGTGAGGAAGTCAGGGAACCCCTGCCTCACTCTGCATAGCCACAAAGAGCTGTGTGGACCTGTGAAAGGGCCATGTCCTCTCCAGGTAGAAGGCCAGCGCCACGTGCACATCCAATGCATGGAGGCTCCTCTCCTCATTGGATGCATGAGGCTCAGGATAGACGACCAGCAGAAATATGGCTGGGTCCACATGGAAGGCAGAGACCACCTTAGGGAGGAAGGCCTGCAGCTGGACCTTATCCTTGAAGAACCGGGTATATGATGGTTCTGACATCAGGGTACGGAGCTGTGACACCCACTTAGACAACATGATGACAATCAGGAAGGCTACCTTGAAAGAGAACAGAAACAAGGGACACGTGGCCAGGGGCTCAAACAGAGGTCTCGTGAGCCACGTCAATACCAGGTTCAGGTCCCACGGTGGAAGAGGGTCTCTGGTCTGGTAGCAAAGTCATTCCAGGCCTCTCAGGAACTGGGAGGTGACATCATGAGAAAACTGAAAATGACACTACATGGGCAGATGAAATGCAGAAATGGCCAGCAGGTGGACTCTAATGATAACCAAAGCAAGACCTTACTGCTTCAGATGGAGCAGGTAGTCCAAGATTTCCTGAAGGGAAGCTTCATACTGGATGACCTGACATTGCTGTGCCCATACTGAGAAACAGGCCTACGTGGCAGCATAGGTGGACCACGTCAAGGGCTTTTGACTCTCGAGGACAACCCTCTGAACGTGCCGGCTCACAGGAGTTCAACCGTGGATGAACCATGCCATAAGGTGGAGCGAGCTGAGGTTTGGGTGTATCCTGGGACACCAAGTCCAGTGTCAGTGGCAACTGCTTGGGTGCCCAGGATACTAGGTTCATTAGTGCCCCAAACCAGTGCTGGCGAGGCTAGGCCAGCGCGAAGAGGATCACTGTTGCCTTGTCCTTCTTGACCTTCTGCAGGACTTTACTGATGAGGGGAAAAGGAGGAAAGATCCTCCGACCATGGGTACAGAAATGCTTCCAGAAGGGAGCCCCATTTGAGGCCAAACTGGGAGCAGAACCAGCTGCATTTCATTTCTTTTGTCATGAAATGGACCACTAGGGGAGAGACCCAGTCGTGGAAGAGGGAGACTGTTGCCTCGGGGTGTAGAGCCCACTTGTGATGAGAGGAGAGCTCTCCACTGACATGGTCTGCAATTGCATTCTGTACCCCTGAGAGGTGATGGGCCTCTAGCACCATGCCATGAAGGACGCAAAACTCTCAGAGCCTCAGTTTCCTTGCTGAGCTCCGGGGAACCCCTCCAGGAATTCCCCTCCAGCCTGTTTATGTAGTATGTGGTGATGGTGTTGTTTAAGAGAACACCCACCACTTTGCCTACGAGAAACACCCCGCATGCGTTTCTGACTGCCCTGACCTCTTTTATATTTGTGTGGAGCAATCTCTCCTTTATGGACCACACACCCTGAGTGTGAAGAGTCCCTATCTGGGCCTCCCAACCACAGTCCAACACATCAGCTTCTTGTTCTCTCAAATACAGTTGGGGATGGCATAAGATTATTGACATGACATGGTCCAGGGTTGTCCACCAAGCCAGGGCTGACAGCAAAAAAGGTGGAACCAACACTGCCCTTACTATGATCACAAAGAAAAAAAAGTTTCTTGCCATTTCAACCAGAAAGGACATTGTCTCAATGACTTGATTACCTGCATCCTGCTTCAAAGGCCTTTTAAGACTACACTTGAAAGAGAATCCTCTGAACTGTCCTTCATGCTTAAATTCGACACTTTACACCTAAGCTTAAACAAAGACATCAATTATCTTAACCATTACAAAGATAGCTTCCCCAATTATCACCTCTAATATCATTAGCTCATAGACATTTCCCCCCCCCCCTCCCATTCCCTTTCTGTTCTGAAATTTGATTTGTCCTTTTCATATGTGTTCATTTTTTTTAATTGTATCCTTTGGTATATATGGTTGTGACAATTTTCTTCCACTATTTGATCTGAGGAAGTGGGTCTGGCCCACGAAAGCTCATCACCTAATAAACCATCTTGTTAGTCTTTAAAGTGCTACATAGTCCTGTATTTTGTTTCTTGCCCTTTCTTCTATGGAGTGTCTTGCTGGTGTGTACACTCATGCCAGCCACAGCTGTAGGGTTTTCATCCTGAGCCAGACGAGGTGCACCACTTACATGCAAGTGGCCATATGCGCCTGGATCTATAGGCACACCCTTGCAGTGGTCCTGGGTACAGTGGTGACTTGCTGACTGAGGTCCGACAGGGCCTCAAACCTCTCTTAAGGAAGCGATGCTCTGGCAGCAGTAGAGTCCAGGACTGCTCCCATAAACTCTATCCTTTGAGCTGACACTAAGAAAGACTTTTTCTTTTTAATCACTAGGCCAAGTTGGAGGCAAGTGTCCAGGAGATGTACGTTGCTCTGGACCTTCAGTCTCAATGAACCTTTGACGAGACAGTCATCCAAGTAAGGGTTCATCTGTACTCCCTGACGCCTCAGGGATGCTGCAACCACCAACATGCAGTTGGTAAAGGGCAGGTCAGCAAATTGGTAGTGGTTCTTTCCAACTATGAATCTCAGGAAGCACTTGTGACCTTCAAAGATTGCAATATGGAAGTATGAACCCGTGCAGTCGAGGGCAGCATACCAGATCCTGGGATCCAGGTAAGGAATGATGGAGGCCAAGGAAACCATTCAGAGCTTGAAGCGGATCAAAAATGTGTTGAGGCTGTGCAAGTCCAATATAGGGCATATGCCCCCTTTTGCCTTGGGAATCAAAAAGTAGCGGGAGTAGAAACCTTTGTTCTCAAACTCCAGTGACACCCTCACCACTCCTCCCACCTGGAGCAGCTGTGATAGCTCCTGCTTGAGAAGATGCTCATGAAAAGAGTACCTGAAGAGGTACGGGGGTGAGGGTGGAATGTATTAGTCATGTTACAACAGTGGCTAGAACTCAACAGTCCAATGTAATGTCCTTCCATGCCAGGAGGAAGAGACAGAGCCTGGAGGAGAACAGACGGGCAGGATCTTAGGAGTCTGGTATGTCGTTCACAGGTGCACCATCAAAAGGTACACTTGCCCTGGGGTTTTGTCTGGCTGGTCAATTCCTGGCCAGTCAGAAGATGGTGGTCCAGTCTCTGCTTGGGGAGTTTCAGGCTTGAACAGGCTCTCTCTTGGCGAGGATATTGGCCGGTTGGTTGGACGGACTGGGCCTTAAACCTCTTCCTCTCAGACCCAGGGATACAGAGGCCCAGAGTTTTCAAGGTGGTATGGGCAATGAAGCTTGGTATCCTTCTGTTCCATGAACAGGGCATCAGTGTCAAACGGGAGGTCATGGATGGAGTTCTGTGCCCCTGGAGACAGGCCCAACAGGGAAGCCAGGCCACACACCTCATGGAGATAGCAGAAGCCGTAGAGCGAGCAGCAGATTCCAGAGCATCAGATGTTGCCTGTAAGGTTGCCAGCAACAGAATAACCCTCTTTTCCACCAAGGCTTTAAACTCCTTGAGGGAACCTTCAGACAAAGAAACCTCAAATATTGTCAGCACCTGCCAGGTGTTGACTTCATACCTGGCGAACAAAGCCCTGTGGTTCGCCACCTGCAGCTGAAAGCTGGCCAATGAATAAAGCTTTCTGCCAAACAAGTCCAGGTGTTTGGAGTCTTTATTCTTGGGGGTGGAGGCCGACTGGCCCTGGCACGCCCAGTGGTCAACCAACTCCACCTTGAGGGAGTTGGGTAGGTATACAAGTAGTCATGGCCCCCTGCTCTATAAGTGGGATGGAGGAAGAGTTCTGCCAAAGAGTCTTGGCAATTTTGGCAACCGCCTCATGCAAGGGCAAGGCTAGTCTGCCAGGTCCCGCTTGCCCAACAACTCCAAATGCAATTCCAAAGTCTCTTGCACCTCCTCAGGCCCAAACCATTAGCCACCCACCTCAGGAGGTCCTGGTGAGTTCTCAAATCCTCCAGGGGCATGGCCAGGAGAGAAGCCACTATTGCCTCATCCTGTGATGAAGAGGAGGAAGCCAAGGCAGGTTGGCCTTCGTCATGAGGTGGTGGGTTGCTCACTTGCCTGAACACCCTGCTGAGAAAGGGCTGATGCCCCTAGATCCCATTGAGGCCCCGCAAGACACTGGCAGCACCGGGGGGGGCTGGGACGCTCAGGCAATGGAACAAGTAAGCTGTGGCTGAACCAGGAAGCCCCAGGGAGACCATGGGTACCATTGTGCTTGCCATTGAGATGATGGCCACGGCATGCCTTGGGATAACACCATCGGTGCCAAGGTTGATGGCACTGAGGGTTATGCCAACTGCTGCACTGGAGGAATGGAAGCCACATCTGAAGCCACACTGCAGGAGTGGATGTTTGCCAATGCCCAAGATGAAGACTGGGAGCAGCAACCCCTTCAGTACAGATACCTCACTGACAGAGACCTCGGTAACTGAGAGCTTCCACATGTCTATGGGAGCCACAGTGCCCCAAAGATCCACTCCTCGAGTCCAGGGAACAGTGCTGGAGGGAGGAGCCATGGTGATGGGATGGGGGCCAGGATCATGGGATGGGCCTCTGCAGCCAGAGTAACTTGGCGCCGGTGAGTATCTATGGCGCAGCAAATGGTGTCAGTGCCATGGAGAGGACAACACCAACATAGCGAGTAGGGAGAATCACTGTCCCTGCAGTGCCCTTGGTGCCAGGGGACACGTGTCCAAAGGTCGGTGCGCCAACTCGAGCAATGCGGGAGACTGCACGTCATGCCCTGGTCTCTCACATACAGACCTGTGGGGACTTCCATGTGCTCTCTTCTCAATTGCCAGAGGAGTGTGGGACCGGACTGTGTCGGGTGATCAGGAGCCAAACAGCAGCTTCCCACTCTGCAGAGGGCTGGTCAGTGTCGGGAGCATGGTACTAGCATAGCAAGTATGTCCCGTACAGCCTGAAAGGCCTCCGGCGTGGAGGGAAAATGCACCTCCAACACCAAAGGTGGTGACTTGGATGCAGAGCTCGGAGCTTACTGAGTCTTCTCCAACCTGTCTGCTGGCTGGTCACTATTCTTCCCCTTGTCCTTATGAGGGGACTTGTCTCTGTTTGGCTGTCTAATGGGCTTGCCAGGGCCGTGGGCAACAAACGATGCCATGCTGCCAACACCGGCGGTGCTCTGTGCACCGAGGCACCAATATTTTATGCCAAGTCCGACGGCTGGTCTTGCAGAGCAAGCGCAGACTCCATTAAGAGAACTTTAAGACAAATGCTCCACTCTTTAATGGTTCTGAGATGGAAAAACCTACAAATACAACACTTGTCCAAGATGTGTCCTTCCCCAGTTCATAGGTACATAGCAAGTTCTAATCAAACTACAACACTACAGAGGGAATGCTTGCTGGCTAAGGCTGGAGCACATTGTGACAAACACTGTCATTGGTGGTAAGAAGGAGCTGAGGAGGGCAGAGCCAGGGAGAATCCAATATAGCGCAGCATGTGTGCACCAGTCCAGAGGATTCTGGGGACCCCAGCCCCTACGGGTATTGCTCAGGGAAAAACTTCCAGCACCTATGTATGTGGCAGGCACACACACCTACATTGAATGGACATGAGCAAGTGCTTGAAGACACCAGTAATCCAGAACTTCCAGAATAAGTAGCAGCAGAGTCACATTAGCAAAACCATGATGTAAATAGAGAACTGAAATTTAGGTTAATTGAGTTTTACTAGTTTACTTTACCACTTTATTTTCATTAAAAGAGATTATGTGAATCATTGATCAATGTGAGATGTTCACGGACTATGCCCCATAAGAAACTGTAGTCTTTAAATGTTCCTGTTTTAGTTTAGGGTACTGTAGTACATGCATTAAGTGTTCTGTACATTAAAGGGTGGTTTGTTAACAGTACTACGTAAAGGGAGGGTTTTAAAAGTCTGAATATACATGTTAAATAAATACGTAAATATGGTGTCCCTACTTCGCGGATTTTCAGCTATCGCGGTCGGGTTTGGAACCTATCTACCGCGATAAACGAGGGTTCACTGTATTCCATTTTAAATGAAGTTTTATACCACAAAAAAATAGGAATTTCCAGAATGGACACCCCCCATGACTAGATAAGAACACAATATTTCAATACACATTCCCCAAGGCTATACATAAAAATAATATCAGTAGAAAAGACTAGACAACGTTATAGTAAATACCTTCTGCACAACCCTGTAACAGATATACAGCAACTGATGAAACATTCTAAAACACCACCTTTCATAAACAGCAATTTGGGCACAAAGCTGCTTCTTATTCTCCACATATCACCTTAAGTAACACTATTAAAATCATCCAGCAGTCTAACAAATAATGAAATAATTAAAGATAAAATCATCTAAATCTTATATGGTCAGTAAATCTCAAAGAACTTTATAAATGAAGCAAGCATTAAAGGAAGTTTTACTTCACCATACCTAGTTCTCTGGCTGCAGTCTTTAGAAGTGACTGCATGTTCTCCTCTAATATGTTCATCTTCTCTCTCAACTCTGTCAGATTAGGATCAAAAGAAGCCTTCACAAGGAATTCATGATTTTCCACCTAGGAAAAGTAGAACAAGAATGAATGTAATTGTAGTAACACTTTGATTGCTACACATACATTCATTATGCAGAAGTTCAAGGTTTTTTCTTTAGTCATTTAGCTTGATTTTGGTTTATTCGTTTTTGCACATCATCACTTCACAATTAAGTGTTGTTTGTGTAATACTGTACTCTTATCTAGTAAGATTTTTTGCTCAATTGCAAATAAAGCATGGTTATGCTCCCCTTCTGGCAGGACACCCCCAACTTACTGTGTGTGATGCTCATTTCACTGGGCCCCGTGTATGCTAAGCTTTTTGAATTTAGTAAAGCATTTGATATAATCCTACAAGACCTTCTTATCAATAAAGGAGGGAAATACAGTGCAGGTGGGGAAACTACAAAATGGGTGCGTAACTAACGGGATAACCACTCTCAGAGAGTAGATATTAATGGTTCACGCTCATGCTGGAAGGGCATAACAAGTGATGGGAGATCTAGAAAACATGACTTATGAATGAAAACTGAAAGAATTAGGTTTGTTTAGTTTGGAAAAGAGAAGGCTGAGAGGGGACATGATAGCAGTTTTCAAGTACTTAAAAGGTTGCTACAAGGAGGAGGAGAAAGAAAATTAGTCCCCTGAACTTCTGATGATAGGACAAGCAGCAATGGGCTTAAATTGAAGCATGGGAGGTTTAGGTTGAACATTAGGAAAAACTTCTTAACTGTCAGGATGAT